GAATTTCTGTGTAACTATACGGCTGCAGTTAAAGTTGCTCCGAATCTGGATGAAATCTTCGAGATCCATAACCCGAGATATGTGATTTATTGAATGGTTTTCGCATCTTGTTTCCCTCTCGTATATGATGGCGGGGTTTATTAAAATAAGATCACACAAGAAAATATCTTTGTTTCAATCTTATTTTTGGATAAAGGGTCTATATAATTGGCATATGGTCAGTAATATTACTTTGATTTGCAATCCAAAAGCTATGCCTCAGTTCTGGCTCCCCGTGATAGTCTTATTTGGGGAGAGTTAATTGAGAGAACATCAACCTCTGTTTCTATGATATTTCAAATATATCTTGATTCGATCTGGCTAAGGAATTCTTTTGAAGCGAAAAAAATACTGCAAAGAGCCCTCAGTTTAAAACTTGCATAAGGTTGTTTATAACGTTAAGAATTGACGCTTTTTTAAAGCATTTCATTTCCATGCTACATCAGAAATGAAAAGAATCAACACCGATGGTGTTTTAGCAGATCATCAAAAGATTTTCAATTCACTGTCGGATTTCAAATTGGACATCCAAAGATGGACAGTTTTATATGGGCCTGGAGACTCTTTTGAACAAAAGATCCCAATTATTTGCAAAAAATTGTACATAAGCAATGTAGAATGAAAAAGTCTTTATTTAACATTTTAGTGCCCCTAAATTGGGGGCCGTCAATGAACAAGTGATGAGAAAAAGAAAGCTTTTGCTGGAATAGCAGGAGCCGGTCAATTTTTCAACAAATTGGAAAAAGAGGAAATAAATTCAGAGGATTTTAAAGGATCTGGTCTGACAAAGTTCCGCCTCAATTCTTGAGCGGAACGATTTTTACGAGTAACGACCGCCAAAGAAAGAGGCACTTGTTCTTTTCTTGCAGACACTTTTTTCTTGGAAATTCTATCGGCCCTTTTACTGGGGATAGCACACTCTTTTGCATTTTGTTCATATATTAAGGAGGCGTCATTGGTTACAGAAATCAGTGATTCAAGGGCACTTCCTTTTGAAAATGGGCACCGTTGCTTTCTGGACTTTCGCATAATAAAATAATTAATTAAAATTAAACAAATGGACTGGCATCTTGAAACCATCAAAGCTAATCACAAAGTCGATGGGCAGTAAATCCCATCAGGCACGCTCAAAACAGAAAATCCCAACACGCACCATCTGAAAGATTAAACCATAAAATAAAATGACCCCCCTAAAGCCAAACGTTGCATGTGTTGTTACATATTTATGGAGTCATAGTCTATGGCATATTGTTGTAAGATGGCTTTAAAAGCCGTTTGGATGTGTTGAGCACGTGCCATTGATCAGTTATTTCTGGCCTGTGTATTTTGAGACCGATTTGGTGGCCTCAGAAACAGCGTGCTTTGAAAGCTCGCCTGGAAGAATCAGACGAACTGCAGTTTGAACCTCTCTGGAGGTTATAGTGGATCGCTTGTTGTAAGCAGAGAGCTTGGAAGCCTCGGCAGCAATGCGCTCAAAGATATCATTTACAAAGGAATTCATAATCGACATGGCCTTTTTGGAAATGTTGACATCGGGGTGACACTGGCGCAAGACCTTGAGGATATAGGTGGAGTAAGTTTCATGACGAGACTTTTTGCGCTTCAAATCTGAGGTGGCATCAGACTTCTTAATAGCTGCCTTGGCGGGGGCCTTACCGGCGGGTTTCTTTTCAGCTTTATTCATTTGGGAAAGTTGGTTTGATAATGGTGTCGAAAAACTCGATGTCAAAGTTGTCGATTTTCGCTTTATAACCACTTGGAATGGCGCGCTTTTAAAAAATTGACGCGCCTTTTCTTGCGGATTCCAATCTTCAATTTTCCCGCCCTCCACACTTTAAGTTTAATTTTAACATTTATGTGGTTTCTATGGACTGGAGCCTTGGTTGCGCTTCTTCTTTTCCCTTTTGAGCCAAAGTTTTAATACTCTTCTGGAAAAGCTTTTGGTGTGTAGCTTCTTTATAGAGGAAGAGTCCAAATTTGTCGTGTCAAGCCAGACTCGTCTTCTCTGGTCCCTTTCAGGCCAAGATTTGTGGATTTTGGCTACATCCATTTCGAAACACCAAAATTTAGTGTCGCCGCCGTGTTCACTTGGCTCCAAGATGGCTGTGGAGCAAATTCCGGTCACTCCCGCCTCTTCCCATGTTTCGCGTAAAGCGCCTGCAATGGCATCTTCTCGCTTGTGTAGACCGCCTTTGGGAAATATTAGTTTGGTTGGATCTGATCTTGCAGTTACCATTAGAAGAAGCGGCGAGAATGTCATTAAATCGGTGCTTTCAGATCCTGTTTCATGATCGGCTTCGTTTTCAATGGAAAGCTCTTCCCACTCCGTGAGCTTCATTGCCAGCTGGGCTTGCGAGGTAGCGGCGTCGATCACTATGGATTCACTGTTTTTTATGACTGATATCAATTTTGGATTTCTTATCACCGGAATCGATCCAACGACTCTTTTGTGTTTTCCCATTGAAAACAAAACTTCTTAATCATGTTGGTATGTCGGTTGTTAAGTTGAAGTTGAACTTTAACTTTAAAACGCTAAAATTTAAATCTTAATCATTTTTATGGGCACTAGTAATTCCCTCCGCCAAAATAATACACAGACCCTTTCAACAGAGCCCCAGGGCCCGCAAAACACGGTCTTGGGGTTCAATAGTGGCGAGGAAGTCGGCTTACAAATAAAGGGCGACGACGAAGCAGAGTCAATGCTTCTGAAAGCGCGCAGAAAAAGGAAAAAAAAACAACCCCAGCGAAAGATTACCTCTGTGTATATCACAGGTCTTCCGCAAGACGTAACGCTTGATGAATTAAACGAGCATTTCAAGCCTTGCGGAATAATATTACCTGATTTGGAGACAAACCTGCCGAAGATCAAAATTTACGAAGGCCTTGATGGCCGGCCAAAGGGAGATGCTCTTGTTATATATTTGAAGGAGGAGTCTGTTCACCTTGCAGAAACGTTATTAGATGAATCTATGCTTAGACCTGGGGTGAAGATCAGAGTGCAAAAGGCGACATTTGCAGGGAAAGAAACTCCCGAAGACTCTGGGACCAATACAGATTTGGATTTCCAAACAAAACGGAAACTTAGGAGTATCCACAAAAAGCTCGAATGGTATTAAATTGTTGCCAAAAAGGCTCCATTCAAGTAAATTTAAATTTAATTAAAATTTCATTTATTAAAATTTCTTCTTGCACTGGTTCATAATGTTGCTATTTTCGTTTTCATCATTTCGACACGTCTCAAAGGCGATCTTGTGCTGCGTGATACTATTGCAATTGACCAATCTAAGTCATTGCAATGTCATCGCCATCAATATAGGATCATCTGTTAAAGTTGCGCTTTTTGATAAGACATCAAGAACTTTTGATGTCATTCTGAATCAGGAGTCTGCTCGAAAGACACCCTTTTGTGTTGCCGTTTCTAACTCAGGAAAAGAGCTCCAATTTGGATCTTCTGCAAAAGCATCGGTAATTTGGGTGCACTTTGTTTATTTTAGGCATCAAAAAAGGACATGTCTGTTTTTTGTGATTTCCAAATACTCTTGGGATGCTCATTGGATGAAGAGCGTGAGCAAGTGGAGTTTTTTAAAAACCTGAATCCTCGAACTGTTTTTGAAAAAAACAAAGGCCATGAAGCCGGCATTTCTTTTGTAATGAAGAATGACAAAATACCTTCATTTCCTGTCGAAGAGCTCACGGCACTGTTTTTTGCCCACATCAAGGGCCTAGCTAATGCGACAGATTGTATCATTGCGGTAGGTTTAGGGATGAAATTTTAAATTCTAGGTCCCTCCCCACTTTTCCCTTGCGGCGCGTCAGGCCGTGTTGGACGCGGCCGAGCTTGCTGGCCTTAATGTGATAGAAATCATCCACGACATTACTGCCGCTGCTCTTCAATATTCGCTTACCGTTCCTTTTGATGTCTCGTCCCTTGTTCCTGGCGCAGCGATGCTGGAGAATCAAGTTTTGTTTATGGATTTTGGCCATACACACACAAGTGTCTCGTTGATTTTATATCAAAGAAATGGAGCCCCATCCACAAAAGGAGCTTCTCGGATCACCCTTTTGAAGACCAAATCACACTTTGGCATTGGAGGTGCCTCGATTGATTTGGCGATAAGGGATTTTTTCTATGATAATTTTTGCAAGCAAAACGCGCTTAATCTTATCTTTGAGGAGGGGAATGTCGAATTGGTTAGAATCCGCAATATTTTGCTTGAAGAAGCCTCTTTGGCCAAGTTTAAACTGACAGCAGCGAATTCTGTCGTTATCTTTATCGATTCGCTATATGAAGGCCGATCTTTTCGATTTAACTTCACAAAGTCTGATCTTGAGGCCATTACAAAGGATTCCTTGGTACCCAGATTCATGAAGCCCCTGGAACAGCTGCTTAACGAACTAGGATATAAGCCTGCAGCGAAAGAGAATGATGACGCTCGTTCTTTTTCCACTGCTAGCTTTTCAACTTTGATGCTTATTGGTGGCACAAGCCGTGTACCTTTCATCCAAGAGACGCTAAAGACGACGTTGGAGTCATATTTTGGAAAGGACAAAGTTAAGCTTGGCTATTCCGTAAATTCTGACGAGGGTCCAGTGCTTGGTGCCGCATTGAAGGCTCTACTTTCCGATATCAAATTCAATGTGAATACCATCAAGCTGTTTGAGCGACCAACACTTGATACCTCTGTCGTGCGTATTGATAGCAGCGATCAAGAGCCTATCCTCTTGTGGGGAGAAGCATCCAACACACAAACTAGTTCAAATCAACTCACCAAAAAGCTTCTGATATACAAAAACGAGTCTTTCTCGCTGGGATTGCTTACAGGCTCTACTCCAAGAAAACCTTGGGCCACCATCAATGTGCTCAATGTTTCTGAAAGTTTTAATATGCTTTTGCAGACTCCGCTCAAAGATGGTCAAATTTTTGTTGGAAATCCCCTTGCTTCTATAAGCTTTTCGCTTCCACTCGCAGGTGCCCGCAACGGAATGGTTCAAATTGCCTCGTGCAATGCTATTCAGAAGACCAATTCAACCGTTTCCGCCAACTCTACGACATCAACAGCCACATCTTCGTCGGATCCAAAAAAGACCTCTGCCACGGACACATCGATTTCTGTCCCTCTTTCTTTTGAACTCTTATTTGCTCGACCTCCATTATCAGAATTTATAAAGAAAGAAATTTCCGATCGCATGCTTGCATTCGATACTTTTTCCCTTCTTAAGCGTGCTCACAACAGCGCTCGCAACACGCTCGAATCCAATATTTTTGCACTGCGACCTCTATTGAGAGAATGGAAAGAAGCAGGGTCTCCCAACCCAGGGGAATACTTTCCAGTGGATGGTAAATTTTTTCTTTAAACCTTTAGGTTTTCTTGCATATTCTGCACCCGAGTCATTGTCCCATTTGAAAGATTTGCTTGAAGAACTTTATGAAAAGCTCGATTATGGATATGAAGTTGATGAATCCCAACACGAATCGATCGAGAATGTCATGAATGTTCAAATCAAAGCGTTCAATGTCGACAGTGCTCGAATTGAATCTTTTTTAGCAGATGGAAAAGCCGCCTTTTCCGAATACTTGAAGAAAAAAGAGGAAGAAGAGCGTGCCATTCGTGAAAAGCTTGCGGCAGAAGCTGCTGCTCGCGAGGCTGAAGAGAAGAAAAAGCGAGAGGAAGCGGCTGCGGAGCTTTTAAAAAACCTAAAAGAGCAGCTCGAGAAGATGAATTCTTCGGCTAGGAATTCAGGAGCCCAAACCCCAACTGATGATGCCCTTCCATTTGATTTATCTGATTTTCATGGCATGATCCCTGAAAATGATCTTGGACATCCACAAAAAAATGATTCAAATGCCGAGTCAGTTACGGAAGAGGCTCCACTGTATGAGGCCCCTTCGATGGAAGAGGCTCCGCTGTACGAGGCCCCTTCGATGCAAGAACCTCCACTGTACGAGGCCCCTTCGATGGAAGAGGCTCCGCTGTACGAGGCCCCTTCAATGCAAGAACCTTCACTATACGAGACCCCTTCTTCGGAAACACATGAGGATGCCACTGGCCAGCCTATGCACGACGAAATGTAGGCATAATAAAGTTCACGTGCGAGCTTTGCAGTTCAATAGAGAGGATTCACTTTTGTGTTTTCCCAGGTACTTTTAACAAGTCAAACAAGTAAGAAGATGGAACCAGACCATATTTATTGATGGGCAAAATTATGAAAACTAGACAAAGTTCCAACCTTTGCAGTCAAAGCAATCGGACTGAACACGACAGGGAGGGGGCGAATGGCCTGCCATGATGATATTTTGAATCAAATATTTCAATTTGTGCTTCTGGAGGTCAAATGGCAAGCCCGAGCCAATGTCGTATTCGCAGACCTGGCCAAGATGGCATTTAGTCTCCATGGCATATCCTGCAATATAACAAAGCGACCAGATGCCGGTGCATTTTCCATACGGAATTGGGTCGGCTGTATTATAGATGTGGAAGATGGGAAGACTCTGCATCAATTTATCAAGCATTTCAGTGTTATTTTTTCTTCGCTCGGGAAGGAGGCCAAGGCGCTCTGCAAAGAGGCGCTCTCCAGGCGCAGAAAATGCCACAGCAGCCGTACCCGGGTATGTAATTGCCAGAAGAGAGGCTAGAGATCCGCCCAACGAGTGCCCAGTCAACCAAATCGTGGCATTGGGATAGTCTTTTTTTAGTTGCTCATAAATTTTAATTGCCTGGTAGTAGTAGACGGGATAAATATTGGTGACTTCTAAGGTCCTAGTTCTGTTTTCATTCAAACTATCGCTCAGAAGGGTTATATTCTTTTTGAATGGAAACGATCTTGTCTTTCTGGAATATTCGACCAGACACTCCTGCTTGCAAGTGGAATTATTTTGGAAGCAAGGACAGACGGTATCCCATGAGAAATCGACGCGTGCACAGCAACAAGAAAACATCAAGTTGTCGTTAAATTTATCTGCCCCGGCAGTGTGGCCAGAGCGATCAAAGATCATTGTAGAGGTGCCTTTTATGGCCATGATGACTAGCGTTTTTTCTGGGTTTGTATATACATAGCCACGAATTGCAGATTCGTCCCATCCGAATCCATCCTCCTTGAGAAAGGGGTCAACGGAATACCAGCTGGCGGAAGAAAGTTCTGGATCTTCAACATATGCATTTGCAGATATTTTTGCTAAAGAAAGAACGGTATCGTAATTGTCGACGGCGGGTATATCAATAACCGAGTTATCCAAGCTACGATGGGTCTTCACTTTGACGGTGATTTTTCCTAAATCGAAATCTGAAATTCCTTCTACTTCGGACGACTCTTGGTCCTCCATTTCTTCATCCACAATGTCAATAATAGATTGAAGCGGCTCGGCCGAAAAAGCAGCCGGATCTTCTGTGGGTGTTAACAGTACTTTGGTGTTAAGTACCGAGGATTGGAGCTGTGTGATAACTTGGGGACTCAAAGTCCCAGAATTAAATCCATATGCACGTGAGAGGCAAAGATTACTGCTAAAAGAATCTTTTTTAGGGTCTACCTGAAGCAAATTGACATCTAGTCCTGATTGGAAGAAGCTGGTGATAAAAAAAGATATCCATAGGAAAAAGGACACCAACATTGAATGATAAATAAAGTTGAGCTACATCACATTATGGCAAGAGTGCTGATTTAATTTAATGTCATTCAAAAGTGATTGGATCAATAGTAGTTATCCTTCGATCTCTAAAATCAGTGAGCTGACAAATGTATTTTGTGTAAATTTGACAACCGATTGAACCCTACACTTGATTTTCGGTTTTGCCTGCAGCTTTAAAAAGCAACCCACACGGACCGAATGTGCCATAGATCACCCCTGCCTTTAAACAAGCAATGATGCGATTATTTTTAAAATCATGGAGTGCATACAACGTATCTGAACGGAAAATTCGATTGCACCTGATGTTATTTTGACGAATTTGTTTTGTATGCGAAAATTGCATCTTTTTTCTGGTCTTTTCGGAGCCAACGATTGAGGAACAACCGGACCATCTGCTCAAAAAAATGTCTTCAAGAAGCATGTTTTTAGTGCCGAAAATTGCGGCAAGATCGATTGTAGCATCATGATACTCAAAAGTGCTGAATAGTGTATACACGATGTTATCCACCCACAGAGTTTAGCAATATACAAGGAACCCACTACCTGTATGGGGCTTTACTGAGATATTTTCGGGCATAGCCATTGACACTGCCCCTTCCTTAGCACGAAGGTACTGATATTATGGAAACGGGATTATTTGAACTCCTAACAAGACATCAGGTTTGTATTATGCATTGCATAAAAGAATTAAGGCAACAGATGTGTTATCGGGTACCCTCCTCCCTCTTGATAAGTCAGGGTTTGCATTAAAATAGCCCCCTTGTGCCAGAAAAATCCAACACTTGTAGAGGGGCGGCAGGCGCATCAAATGGCCCCAATAAATTGTTATGCAATCTAATTCGGGTGTCCATCGACACGCTTTACAAAGCAAAAGGACAAGGTTACTGTGTGTAAACATGCTGGCCATCGATTATGTCTATCGTGGCTCAAGCAAAAAGAAAATCGGCCTAAACGAAAAGCTGGCAGTGTTAAGTTAATATATTTTGTCTAAAGATTTTCTAACTGCCGTCGGGATTGGGGTTTGGCTGCATCTGAGGTGAAGAGCCGAGTCCGGCATCAGGTGCAAGTGCAGGTACATTTAAAGTGGGGGCAATTTTTGTGCTTGTGTGTGAATTGGTTGCAACGGGAAATGGCTCTTGAGATAGAGATTTTTGCACATTATTCGGTGAGTGCGACGAGGTGGATGTGGTTCCCCTAACCAAGACAGAAATGACTATCCCAATCGCAATCATTGACAACAGGGCAATTGCAATGTTCATTCTAATGTTTCGCCACCACAGGCGTCTTTCTGTCCTTTGAGTATGCACACGAAATCGGTATGCCTGTGCTTGAAGTTGCTCCATTTTCTCGGATAGCCTGGTAACAGAGTCACCACGTTCAAGCATCGTGGTAATGTTAGCCCGCATCAAGGCAGCAACTTGGTCAGCCTCCGACGCGACCATTTGAGGTGTAATTGAGTTTGCCTTGGGGGCCGAGGTTTTGGAAACCAAAGGCCCTTCTGAGGTTTGGGAGAAATTTGGGGATCCCTTGAGAATGGTCCCAATCGGAAGGCGAGATGTAGGCGGTGGCTCTGGCGAATTTTCTTTGATTACGGACATTGAAACGGCAAACGATTCTTCCGCAAATGGCTGTCTGCCTTGTTTATTTAAAAGCATCTATGGTAGTATAAGGAAGCTTCCAAATCAGCTAAATCAGATAAATTTTAAATTTATCAAATTTGAAACCAAGTGAAATCCATATGCAAGGAACGGGTTTAATTGGCTGATCGGACATACTCGCTGATCAGCTGCCATTTGCGCATTTGAAGGGCTGATGCTCTCCCAGATGCTTGATGCATGTAATGCATCAAACTTTGCCTTTAGGTCTTTTGGACAAAAAAGTGCATTTCAAAAGTTAGCATCCTGGCAACGCGGGACTTTAAACTTTGTAACAGCTATCGTTTAAATTGAGCTTTAAATTTTTAATTTTATGATTAGAAGAGAAGCTCGCCTTCGTAGAGAATACCTGTATCGCAAGTCGCTGGAAGAGCGGGAGCGCCAGCTTTATGAAAAAAGACAGGCCGTAAAACAAGCCTTGGATGAAGGCAAGCCAATCCCTCGTGAACTCCGCGAAGAAGCTACCGAGCTAGGCAAATCTGTCATCTTTGACCCATCTTATTCGATGCCTGTTAACCATGTTGACGATGAATATGCAAATGCAACCCTTGTCGATCCCAAGATAGTAATCACTACATCTAGAGACCCTTCGAGCAGACTATTGCAGTTTACAAAGGAAATGAAGCTCTTGTTTCCAAATTCCCAGAGAATCAACCGCGGAGCCATGGTGATTCCTCAATTGGTAGAGAGCTGTAAAAGCTCTGGGGTCACCGACTTGATATGCATCCATGAGCATAGAGGCATTCCAGATGGTCTGATCGTTAGTCATTTTCCACACGGCCCAACGGTCTATTTTTCTCTTTTCAATGTGGTCCTTCGACATGACATTCCAGAATGCTCTGGCACAACGGTGTCCGAAGCAGCCCCTCATCTCATTTTCGAAAAGTTTACCACTTCCCTTGGAAATAGAGTTGTCTCCGTTCTGAAGCATTTGTTCCCCATTCCAAAATCAGATTCTCGAAGGGTAATGACCTTTGTAAATAACTCTGATTTCATATCCTTCCGACACCACAATTATAAGAAAGAGGGTTCTAAGGTGGCCCTTTCAGAAATCGGCCCTATATTTGAAATGAGGCTTTACGAAATCAAGCTCGGGACTGTTGATATTAGCGAGGCCGACACAGAATGGGTCCTCAGGCCATACCAAAATACCTCGCACAAAAGAGATGTCCTTTAATTTATTAAAATTTATTAAAAACGCCATTTTTCATTATCCGATGGGCCACATCAGAGCCTTCCAGCGGAAATCCCAGCTTTTCCGTAGGCTTTTTTCCCAGCTTGGGTATCAAAAAAAACAGTCAATAAGGGAGCAGATTTTATCGGCAACCGACGGCCATTCAAACATAACTCCGACAATTTTGGATCTTGTTGATAGGGAGTTGATACATTCCCCTTGCCACCCTCTTAATCTGATTGCATTGAAAATAAAAGAGTATTTCTCGAGGCCCAGACCGCTATTTAAGTCTTTTGAACAAATCCGACAACGATTTTTTGCTAGCAATCCCATGTGCGCAACTTTTCAGGATGCAAATATATGTTTCTCAACTTACGATTCGATTTCACCGATAGTGTCTACGTATGAAAATTTTGATGCGTTGGGGATCGGTTCTGATCATCCAGCCCGTGCTCCATCGGATACGTACTACATTAATCAGAACACGGTATTAAGAACCCACATGACTACCCACGAACGCCGCTTTCTATCTCAATCTCCCCCAAGTGCGCCCATGGCGTTTATTTTACTTGGCGATGTGTATAGAAGAGACCAAGTAGATTCGCTCCATTATCCCGCATTCCACCAGCTCGAAATGGTAAGAAGATTTGGGGTTGAAGAGTCCACAAATTTCAAGCTATTTTCACACTCGCTTTCTTCAGCAGAGAGGGCCCATATTTACAATAAGATTTCTCACATAGAAAAAAGTAAACATCTGCCCCTTCCACAAACGCTAGCCATTTTAGACATGCAATTGGAGCTTGAGGGATTGATTTCGTTTGTGCTTCAACGTGATTTGCCTATGCGATGGCAGGAAACCGAATTTCCATTTACGAAGCCATCACAGGAGCTTGAAATTGGCAAAAAAAACGAGTACATTGAAATCCTGGGCTCAGGATTGCTTACTGATCACATTTTAGGGCCATCTTTATCTTCAAACGAAGGCCTTCCATTGGCTTGGGCGGCAGGGTTGGGCATTGAAAGAATTGCAATGTTTCTGTATGAGATACCCGATATTCGGCTGTTCTGGTCGAAAGACGAAAAGTTTTTATCGCAATTCAGGGAAAATGGCGGTGCATGCAAATTTAGGCCCATTTCGAAGCATCCGCCGATTTCGAGAGACATTTCGTTTTGGCTCCCGCAAACCTATGCAGCCGACGATGGTTCTTTCCACTTTAACAGCATATCTGAGCTGATACGAGAAAAAGCGGGCGCATTGGTAGAAAAAGTCTCCTTGATAGACCAGTATTTGGACACGAAGAAAGGACGTAAAAGCCAATGCTACAGAATTATTTTCAGATCGCTCGAAAGGTTTGCATTGTGTGGATTTATATAACTGTACATAGGTCTTTGTGCGACAGTGAAGTCAATCAAATACTGACTGCCATTAAGCAAGACCTTGCCGAAAGGCTCAAAGTTGATGTTAGGTGAACAATAAACTTGAAATGTAAATACATTTAACAAAGGTGAAATTCGAAACTACCAATGATGGTGCGTGGTTTGGGATTGTGGTGGATATCAATAGACGTCCACATTAGAAAAGGACAATACCTTTGCTCGTATTGAATTGAACTTTTTGTTTGAAGGATGGCCGAAAGCGGTCCTAGCTCCAGCTAAAATCCCAGAGTGTCATTATAATTCTATAAAAAGCGGCACCAAACTCCAAAGTGGTACCACTGCATGTAATAGGAGGGTATTCAAATGGTTTTTATTAAAAGGCCAATTGATAGGTGTCTTTTGATTGGCCCGACCCGCCATTTTGACCCCAGCCTGGCATCAAATCAACACCAGGTGACCCCGCATTTAACGACTGAGGCAGATCTATACAATCTGTCATCTTAATTCCAACTTAGGATCAATGATGCGTGAATGATGCCTCAATGATTGCAGTACCGAATCACGTCTCGCATGAAAACTTGATTAGGTGGTTTAATGTTTTATATTGTACAGCTCTGTTGATTGGAGTCGCTCGCAGGCGAAGGTTTGGAATGTTCTCTATGAAGCGCCTTCTTTTTCAACAACACAAGTGCCCTGTTTAAAACATGCATCGAGGTTGGGTAGAAGATGCTCTTAATAAATCCAAATATAATCCTAGGCGAGATGCATAGTAGTATGCAACAAAACATGCAAAGATAAAAGGCAGGCTGAAAGAAAAGAATCCACGGAGTTCCATACAAAGTGGACGTGGTCCAGCTTGCCATGATAAAAAATGTCACCAGAAGGATCACCAGAGATATCATGACGGAAAAAAGAGTCAGAAGCGTCCATGAGTAGTGGCATAAAAGAATGGTTAGATTTACAGTGGTTATTATACAAAAGGCCATAGCCGAGCCAACTACCGTTCGATCCTCAGGCACTGGAATCCAATCTAGCGTCCAAGACGAATGCATAAATAGCGTATTTAGCGGGCCGCCCGAGTAGACAAAACGCGGAATCAAGTAACACACCAGCGACTGGTAGACCCCCTCGGAGACGGCAATCAAAAACCTCTCTATCGAATAGTAGGATACAGGCTGGAAAATAGGGTCAAACGCTAGCTCTGATTTTCCGGTCGAAAAATGAGAGTGAGGATGGGATTGAACACATTTTGGCACCTTATTTCCCCCGGTATACATGCAGGGGAAAAGCATTGCAATATTACTTTCGATATCTCTGTCAAAGATACCCAGCGACAGCACAGGAAGAATAGAAAACAGAAAATTATAAAACAGAAGAAAGGCATAGTCATAAATAAATTGGGACGAAAAGGCACAATCAAATTGGTACCAGAAAAGAACAAACACAAATGCAATGTTTTTGTAAAAACAGCTTAGGGTTGCCGAGGAAATACGATGATACGACCACCTCCCATGAACAAGTAACAACCGCTTAAGGTGAGAAAACTGTGAAATAGAATAATCTGCAGCCATTACGGCTTGACAGCCCTCTTTTCCCGTGGAGATGCCAATACCAATGTCGGCTTTACGAAGCATTGATACATCATTTGCCCCATCTCCAATGGATAAGCACACCGCTGTGGATAGATATTCCTTGACCAACCCCACAATCATGGCCTTTTGCAGAGGGGCCACTCTACTGCAGATAACTGAGGAACATCTTAAGGCAACAGATAAAAACAGCAGCTTGAGTGTGTCATCTGGAGAGTCAAGGATATATTTCAGCGTCATCCCATCGACTACCAAAGCAGCACCTTGGTAATGTGTTGAAAGAATCGATTTCGGGCTGTTAGGTAGCAATGAGTTGGGGCTTTTCATGTTTTGCATCGGGCTGGCTATGTTAGAAAAATACGAGAAAGGGCTTGTAGTATGTGACTGAATTAACGGCGAAACCGGAGTGGCTGTAACGGGATTTGGAGAAAAAAGAGTTCCCTCCGCCATTGACATGTTCTCTTTGGAATTGGAATAAAAATCCTCAAGAGTCCTCAAAAGCGAAAATCTTACGGCACACCCAGATTTATTACATGAAGAAGAAGAAGATGATGATGATGATGAACGAGACAACTGGAGTTCATGTTGGTCCTTGTCTTCTTGTAAAGATACGCACTTTTCTTCCAAGGGCTGTTCCAAATTTKAGAACAAAATCTCAATGAGCTTCATTGAAGAAGTAATCAGGCCAGCAGACGTGGAAACATTGACTGCAGTTTCGGCCTTATCGCCGGTAAGAACCCAAGTACAAATACGAGCCTCCCGGAATGATTCAATTGCATCCGCAACACCATCTTGCAACGAATCTTCAACGGCAGTAATACCGAGAAAACATAGGCCGCTCTCAAGATTGGAATAAAACTCTTCCGAACGACAGGCAGAGTTTTTAGCACTTACATTCTTGACTTCTTCATATTTTATCATTAGACTCTTCCACTCATCGGAAAGGACATCGTACTCTTTCATTGCAAAACACAAAATCCTCAATCCTTGTGAAGCCCAATGGGCAAGGTTGCTTGATGAATTTTGCACGGAAGCATCATCTTTACGGCACAAGGCAATAATGGCCGAGTCAGATCCTTTGCAGAAAAAATAGGCTTTTTCTTTGAGCCTCACAAGAACACCCATGCGTTGACGCTCTGAAGAAAATGGAATCGTCAAGATAACTTCATAGTTTTCAACGAAACTTTGTTGCTCCCCAACTTTGGGCGATGAAGCAGAAGGCTGCTCCTTGAAAAGATCTTCTAACCCATCGACAATGGCAACCGAGGCCGTTTTAGAGACTGCTCCACAATAAGGTGAAGATACACCCGATGTCCCTTTGAACTGGTAGCCCATCTCTGCACATGCAGTAACCAACGCAACTTCGTCAGGAGATTCTCCGGAATAGATGAAAACATCTTCTACAGTCTGGCCCAAGGCAGTCGACGCAGGATTGGAAGCTTTTTTCTGCTCAATGCGAGTTGGATGAAGAGCGATGGTATCTGAGGACGAATGGGGGGAAAATTGCACCTCATTTGCCGATGGCAACACAGAATGGCACAGCGCAATGCACAGCATGATGAGCCGATAATGCGGCGAATCAGAAGGCATCGCAGATTCTTTCGATGCTAAAGGAGCATTCTTTAAAAAAAGCAAGCCATCGCCGTTTGACGAATAAATTTGGCCTCCTGCCCACAGATATTTAAATCGCATGATGTTTTTTGTTAGGGTTCCCGTTTTGTCTGAAAAAATAAATTGAACACGCCCGAGATCGTCAGATAAATTCCACGCCCTCGCATTACACTGCTTTCCAGAAATGGGGTCCTTCATCGCCAAATCAGAATGGATTAAAAATGCATGGATTGTCTTGCATATTTCAACGGTGATGTATAGGGCGATTGGGACGACGGTTTGGAACAGGATCAAAGACGAAAAAAAAGAAACCACTACTGAAGAAAGAGTTGTCGTCTCCAGTAGCAACTTTGTCGATGTAATTGAAAACGATTCAACAGACATGCACACAAGGCACAAAATTAGCAAAAGCAGAAAATTTAGCAAAATTTGTCTATTTAGCTGTCTCTCAATGGTAGATCTTTTAGAGGGCGAACCTTCTGCTGAGCTGGTGGGCGAATTCACCTTTTGATGCGCTATCGAGTTCAACATGATTTTTGTCTCATATCCTGTGTACAAGACGACCCCAATAACCCAATCCGTGTTTTTGGTAATACAACCTCGAAGAAGGATATGCTCTTGAGTCAAGAGCACCTCCTCATTGGTGTTGCACTCGTTTTCAAAAAATACCTTCCCACTGAAGGAATATAAATGCGGGCTTGGAGGGTCGATTTCGATCCGTAGGGATTTTAATGAAAAGCTATCATGAATAGGGATTGCTCTCTTTATCTTCAAATTGGTTTCGCCATCTAAGCTCATGGTGTCAAGGTATATTTCAGAACGGGACGAAGACGAAAGGGCAACGCAATCTGCCGGAATGGAATCTCCGGATCGAAGATAAATTACGTCACCCACTTTGATGTCTTTCCAGGCAACTTTCCTTTTTTTAAAGTGATCACTTTGATCTGCAGATGAAATTGGCTCCAAAATTGTGGCCCATGACTCGTTGATTAGCCTATCAGCCTTATGCCGCCGGTAGTCCTCGACTGCATCCTTAATACCGGTGGCCATTAAAATAAATAAAAGCGGTCCTGCTGACAAAAGTGGATTGTAGGACGAAATAGCAGGGATAAATTGAAGAACAACAAGCAGCAAAAAATAAACGTTAGCAAGCCGATGGAACTGTTCATACAGGTTTTTGGGGATAAACGTAAATAGGTTGTATTTCGTTGAGTGCACCTCGTTAGAGCAAAACTTGCTATCGCTCGAATTGCCACCAATACAATCGATACATCTACGGTCAGCGATTTCCTGTTCAACAGAGTTTAAAGAGCTTTGATCGGGTTCCCCTTGCACCGAAAACGAGGCAGACGTTAGCTTATGGGAGCAAGTAGAAGACCCCGCCATGGTGCTGAGGTCTGATAGCTGCTGAAAAGAAAGCGTGGACGAAAGAACATATGCGTTAAAATTGGCTGGGCGGTTTAATTTTTCCGTTGGAACGCCGTCGAACCAATTTCTTGTCTTTGTTACCAATCTCATCATTTTTTTTGTTTGCTTGTCTTTGAGCCTAATTAGGGACCGTTTCGCTTTTGGAGTCCCCGAAGCTTTGTCCTTTTCCGCTGGATATGCCGTGTGATCTTGATGCAAAGAGGTTTCTTGTATTTTTCCCGCTAAACGTAAAATAAATAACATACAATTTCTAATTGGACTGTGTGATCCCGACGCAGAATTGTCCGCATCAAAATTGTTTGAAGCACAGGAAGGAATTTCGGCAACTCCCTCTTCGTCTGTGGAAGTATCATAGTCGGCCTCGCTGGTGCTGTATATCTCATTACTGTCAGTATAGCTAACGGAAGAAGATGAAATGCTATGGGATGGCATTTCGAATTGTGATAAACATTTTGCTACAAGTGCATTGATTAAATAAGAGTCCCATAATTAAAAAAATTTCCAAGCTAGTATATAAATGAAGCTTTTTCTGCAACCTTATCCTCTCAAGCCTATTGGCTTAGATCAAGTGTAGTATCTGTTCTTATCAGTTTGAAAACTGGTATTCTTCCACCGGAAGAGTATTATTTTCATTCTAATTTTTTGCGCAGGGGGTTGTTGATGGCTTGCCTAGACACCTCGTGGGTGTCCCTGGTATTGTACTGCATCCGGGTGACGTCCAGCCTCCTTCATCAATAATGTTTCCATAGTTTTATTTTACTTTCAATGATGGTGGTGATCAGTGGTGCACTTTTGGCATCTTCCACTGGCCTCACAATTGAGCTGTGTGTTACGGCGGTATCCGATTTCCGTTGTGCGAATTGATCCGGCTTCTGGCCAAGTGGGTGGGGGTTTTACTTTTTGTTCATTTAATTTTGGCGACAACATGCCACGCTGTGTTCATAGAATTGATTGGGATATGTGATGACGCCGTCTGAAGCGCCGGTTTTTGCTGTTGCCGAACAAATCGATCCACCTCTCACGGATTCCAAAAGACGAGTGCAGGCCAGCTGATAATGACCGGATGTTGAAATACTCATAACTTCCTTTAATGTTTCTGTGGATAGTGGCTTGAACGCGGAGGAGGAGGACACCGAGCTGCTTCCATAGGCCTGTGAAAGCCACGAAGCTAGCAAATCTGGGCTTTGATGTCGAAACGGACACCCATGCGTATCTCCTGCCGCTGGGGAGGTTCCTGTAATAATTCTATGACATGAATATGGAGGGTAGTTGGTTCTTTTCCCTTCTTGGCCATAATTATGCCTGATATTGTAGAGATAGTTTTTCTGGAACGAATCGTCGGTGGTTTTTTTAGAAAAAGCCTTCTTCCAAAAAACGATTGCATCATCCAGGTTCAAACCAATGGACTGGAAATAAAGGGCATTCAAACTAACCTTCAAAAAAAGACCAAATTGCATGCGTCCTCCGTGCTTAAGATGGCTTTCCTTCCTGAGCTTGCCATTGATTTGGAGCATGCATGGAGGAAAGTGGATGGCAACCTAGCATTGGGTTAATGCCGATCATAAGTGACGAAATAAACAAATAAAACACACAAAAAGCGCTACATACCCGGTCCACATCAGAGGCAGAGAGCCTTTCCATCTTGGACGTAAGCATGGCAGCAGAGCTGTCAATGGTGTCATCCAACCCGGCCGAAATGGCATCAAGGAGCGAAAATATCCTTTCGTCATTTTCAATAAAAGGGAGCGAAGATGACATCTCAATAAGATCACGCTCGAGCATAGCCTTAAAGGCAGAGTTGATGATGGAAAGAACCTCACTTCGGTGCACAAATGCCCAACCATTGTTCAAGAAAACAGATCTACGACCAACCAAGTCAGGGACATTTTCCCAAGGCACCTAGGGTAAGCAAAACAGGTGAGAAACCTTGTAATACTGCTGCTGACGGTGCTCGGAAGAATCGCTAGCAATCAACGGTGTGGTGGCCATCAAATTGTTCGTAACAGAAGCGATTTCATCGTCCGAAATGTACTGCAGCTGAGGGAAATGTTTTTCAATGAATTTGGATTTTTCCTCACTGCCCAGCAAATGCTGAAATCTCCAGCGCAACATGGCTGCCTCTTGATTGACAAACCAGCGACGGCTCTCTTCCCTTCTGCAATAAGCGAGCCTAGAAATGAGTTGACAACGACGGCGACCTTAAAATAAAGTGCGAGGTTATATCGTTAAGGCGCTCCTCATCAAGAGGATAGCCCTTATGTGCAGCATTTGAATGTAATGGCATCAAACGCTCCTCGGCAGAAGAAATAAAATGGGCATCAGAGACTCCACCATGCTGAATTCGGGCATAGTAATTTTCAATTGCCTTCAGCACTATAGATAAGGGTTAGGGTTCTTTCACATTTAAGACGCGAAATGGCCAGCCTTTCCAAAATTTCCAGTCGAATTTCGTGCACCGGAAATTCGTCATAAAACGAAAGTCGAAGAGGGTAACGCAGCAAAACATCATGCCCAACCCCACTAGCAGACGAAGAGCCTCTCCCCGCAACAAGATGGTCAAACATAGCGTCCTCATATGAAATCGTACCGGTGGGAGCACGGATAATCCGCTTCATTTTCCGTTGGCTATGAAAATTTTACAATTTAATTGTGTGTTTATGCATTTTGGGGGGAAACGAAAATGCTGGGATCATGTTTTGATTGCTGAGCGGCCGGCGATCACAAATAAAACATCCAGAGCGTCCTGACCATTGCTACAGATGCTAAAATGGCAAGGGAGTATCCCAAGTTTACCAACATCAAGGAAACGTTTCGCTGGTCAAGTACAAAATGGATGCAAATTGACGGGACATAGAAGAACTGCCAAAGGATATACACAGCCAGTAAAGAATCCAAAATTGTTTTTGCTCCGATCGCATGCAACAGCAAAAGAACTCCGATCACTTCGAGCATTCCAAAAAAAATAATCAACATAAATGTGAGGGCAGGATTGCTGTCGCAGTCGCTCTTATCCTTATTATTTGCTTTCAAAAAGATTGACTGGAACATACTTTCGGAATACCAGAATCCCCCAATCATCATATACGTAAGTATGCCAAATAGCAGGGGCAAAGCATGCTGGTGTAAGAAAGTGCACATTGATATCATTTACGAATTAAAGTTGTGATTTGTAAATGCCATTTAGATTTTAATTTAGGGTTAGACTAACTTGTTGTCCACCTAATAATCGTCTTGACGTGCGGTAATCATTACCTGACCGTTGCTGCTGATTTAATCCATTGTTTTCTGTTTTATGATGGCTTCATCTACCCCGAATACAATTCATACTCCATCCCCACCGCCTGCACAGCAACATTCTGTTGATCATAGAGCTTCAAAGCATGCCCTTAACCCCGATCCTACGTTTAACGCAACCAAGCAGACTCGACCAAACCAGCGTAGCAGTCCAGCTCATGGAAACAACATCACACAGCACACAAAGCGCAATGGGCGCCCAGTTGTTCCTTCTTTTACACAAGAGCCTGCTCTTGGTTCCTCTACGTCGACTGGACGAACGACGTCCCCAAGGCCCACCTATTCCAGTGCAGCGTCTGCATCTATAGTTTCTGCCAGCGGAGCTACAGAACCCCATGAGCAGCGCCGGACTTCTCGCCATACACATTCTGGAACGCTTAACCTCGACCTCCTTCCACAAAGGACACAATCTGCCCCACCAGAGCTTCATGAGGAGATCCCGTCGTCCGCTTCTACCTTTACTCAAGTAAAGGTCGAAACAAAAGATAATGCGGAAAAGAAAACGGAAATTCTGCCCGAAATTCTGCCCGAAATTCTGCCCGAAATTCTTCCTGCCTTTGTCCCTATGCCTTCGAGTATGGTTGATCCCTCAATCGAGTCTGCCCAAAGGCCTTCTCATGATGGAAGAGATTTCATTCCAAATTACTATAAGCCACCTGCTGCAAGCTACACGTCCTCATCCACTCTTCTTTACCCAACAATGCCCTATCCAAACTCTCCTTATACCCTTACAGGTTATACGCCTCATGGAATAGCCTTATATTCGATGAACTACATGCCTTCGCCTATTGCTTCCGTTTCTTCCCCTCTTGTTACTTCGTTTGCCCCGCCATCTTCCTCATCATCTTCTTCTTCGGCCACACTTTTTGTTAAACCCCCGACGTCGCGAAAGACTATCAGCATTAAGCATCCAGATACAAAAGAAGAAATTGTAATTTCTAAACCCACGGTTTTACCAGATAAAGTGACACCAAATGCCGTAGAAGTTCAATCTGAAATCGACCCCAAAAAGGATGATGTTGAGCCTGTTTGTCAACTCGAAACAACCCCGTGTTGCGAAATGATATTGCCCACAATTGTGCTCTCTAAAGTAGAGCCGCTTGAAAAGGAAGAATTAGCTGAGAAGAATACTCTCGAAGAATTGCTTGAGGGTATGTCAATTGAAGAACCAGCTGCAAAGGTTTCACAAGCAGAAGCCGTGCCTCTTGGTGAGGAAAAGATTGAAAATCTGAGCTCAAGGATTTATGACAAAAAAATGCTGTACGCACTTCTTCAATCGCAGAAGTTTGAATGTCCCTCTATGGAAGACACCTTTAGGACTTTTCTAGACTTACTTGAACGGGCTTCTTCTTACTCCTTACAAGGTGCTTCACGCGGTGGTGAAAAGCGTCACCATCACTCTGGGGCATCTGGTCAAAAGATGGGTGCACCTCCTGGATACGAAGCATCTGGGCCTCCTGGATTTTCTAGGCGCCAAGATGGTGGTGCAAGTCGCTCTTCACGTGGTGACTCTTCTCCTAGTCATGGTGCAATTCAGCGAGGACGTGTTTCCTCCACTCCACTGATTGCAAGGCGAGCAGCCTCACCGCAGCCAGTGCTTCTTCCTACGGAGGGTCGTTGGGTACGTCCTACGCTGGTTAAGGATGAATCCACAAAAACAGATATAGTGCTGCGTCTCGTTAATGGATCCCTCAACAAACTCACGCCAGACAACTTTGAACGTCTTTCGATGACTGTAATCCAGACGCTGGTGGGTCCCCTAGGCGTTCTCGTCTCTGCATATCCAAAGCTTTCAAAAGCAGTGATGGCAAATGAAGAACCAGTGTGGAGTGAAGATGAAGATGAGGCAAGATCGCTTCTTGCCCAGGTTATTGGAGCTTTTTTTGACAAGGCTGTGGATGAGCCGCACTTTGCTCCCCTATATGCTGGTCTATGTCGTGTAATTGCAGATAATCCCCAACTTCCAGAGTATCCGGCGCGAAAATCGACCACCGACTCTACATTGGCTCCGGTCTCCATGTTCCGTATGGCTCTGTTGCATCGCTGCCGCGCAGAATATGAAAAAAAAATTGCTTGGAGTAACAACTCGGCTAGTTCTACTTCATTATCAGGATCTATTTCTTGCGATACCACAGCTACCACGGATAAAAGCTCTGCTTGCGTATCTTCCGGTACGGAGGTTTTGGACGAGGCCGAAATAGAGTTTACCAGGCTGAAGACAAAGCGCCGAGTTTTGGGAAATATCGCCTTCATTGGCCATCTGTACAAGCATGGCTTGCTGCGTGAAGAAATCATTCTTTCATTGGTGCAGGAGACACTCAATGCCTCTTCGTCCGATGAGGACGATCTTGAATGCTGTATCCAAATGCTGAACTCGACAGGCTCCAAACTTGAGGCTTCCTCGGCTGCCCGACTCGATGTCTTCTTTACCAAGTTGCATACATTGACTACGTCCGAATCAAAGCTTTCCAATCGCATTAAGTTTGCCATTATGGACCTTATTGATTTGCGCAAGGCCGCATGGCACAAAGATCTCATTTCTAAAGTTAGTCAGCAACAACAGCAACATACAGGAAGAGGCCCGATAGGCATAGCATCGGCGCCTGCACTTCTTCGTAGCACATCTTCATCCTTGGGAACTCCCGGACGCAGGAGAGGAGATTTCACAGAGGTCAGGTCAATTGCTACAAGATTGCCAACCGGAAAACCATCCGTAAATTCAAGCTCCGTATCCACGTCTGCTGGTTTCTCTTCAAATAAGCTTTCAACGACGTCAGCTAGCAAAAACAAATTTGGACTCCTTAATGATATAGGTGTTGCCAGTGATGATTCTGGAAATCAAAATAGCCTTGGCAGTCTGTCAGAAAAGAGTGATGACGAGATGGACGTTGATGTGAATGAGCATCTGACCCAAGAACGCACGGTCCTAATTTCGATCTTAAAATCGGCTATGAATGAGGACCCTTCGCAGAATGACCTCACACAGATGGCGCAACGGGCACGAGCTCTTATGGAAGCTGAACCGTCACTTGCCGCGCTCCTTTTATCGGAGACCTTTGATGCAAGCGAGACAAAGCAACTAAAGCTTTGTTCATTTTGCCAATTGATGACAACAACAGCCCCGATTCCAGATACTCTGTTTGAGGTGCTCTCTGAGACCATAAGGCTTAATTTTGAGTCCTGGGTCGAAGATATGCCGTTGCTTGGTGTCAATCTTGGGCGTCTTCTGGCAAATTTGCTTGGCGGCCATCATGAGACCTTTAACGGGGGCACTGCTTTTGTGCCTCTCAAAATCTCGCCAGAAATTGGGCATAGTTATGCCATTGCACTCGCAGGGTCTTTGTTGCGCCACCTTAAAATTCCCCTTTCCCTTGAACAGGTCAAGGCGTGCACCGAATCCTTGGGCGTTGCACCTGGCGATCTGGACCTCTTTTGTGAGACGCACAAAATTCCTCGTATCTAATAAACTATGTATCATAGGAGGCCGTATCTAATAAGCCGTGTGTCTCGGGAGGCCGTATCTAATAAGCCGTGTGTCTCGGGAGGCCGTATCTAATAAGCCGTGTGTCTTGGAAGGCCGTACTACCAACCTTAGTCCCAAATATCTGCACAATTAATTTCTCTGGTTTTATTAGCTATTGTAAAGATCCCCATCAATTGAACTAGCTTCCAATTCTCCTGCATCAGTGGCAGAGGAATTGTCCCCAAACGCACTTGAGGCGAACGAAAAGGAGGATTCATAACCACGGGACTGTTGCAATGTTTGTGCAAAAGACTCGTAGCGGCGAATGTCAGTGTCGCTAACGGAACGACGGGCAAATTTGAGAGCTTCCTCAAAGTGCGCACGCGTGATTTCTGGGACAAGGTCCTCTACTTCGCCCAGGTCCATCATTTGGGCATTGGGCTCCATAACTTGCATGGCCTGGTCCATATCGTCACCTTGTTGTGTCTCTACGACCTTGGCCTGCTTTGTTGCGGCAGCAAGCTCGGCCTCTATGGAGGCACGAATGGCAAGCTTGCATGCACGCTGGCAGATTTCGGTGAGATCGGCGCCAGAAAACCCTGAAGCCCATTTTGCGATTGCATTAAGATCGATGTCTGCGGAAAGGGGCGATTTTCGAAGTGTCGCCTTGAGAATGGCCAGCCTTGATGGTTCGTCTGGAAGTGGGATGTATATCAGCTGATCAAGGCGACCTGGACGTAGGAGCGCAGGATCGATGTGATCGGGACGGTTGGTGGCGCCAATGACAAAGACGTTCTTTTTGGCCGCCATGCCATCCATCTCGGTCAGCAGTTGATTTAGCACACGGTCAGCAACGCCCGAATCGCCCATGGATGATCCGCGCGCCTTTGCAATGGAGTCCAATTCGTCAAAGAAAAGCACACAAGGTGAAGCTGCTCGCGCCTTGTCAAATATTTCACGCACATTTGCTTCGGACTCGCCGAACCACATTGTCAGCAGCTCCGGGCCCTGTGATCTTAAAAATACGAAATCGATACCTAGAATTAATGTGCGAAACTTTGTACCTTGACCGAAATAAAGTTGGCCTGGCACTCGTTGGCAATGGCCTTCGCGAGGAGCGTCTTACCGCATCCTGGAGGCCCATAAAAAAGCACGCCTTTTGAGGGTGACATGCCGAATTTGAGGAACTTTTCCGGGTGCTCCACTGGATACTGTACGGTCTCCTGCAATTCGCGCTTGACTTTTTCTAGCCCTCCGATGTCTGCCCATTTGATGGTAGGCACCTCAACAACGGTCTCCCGCAGTGCTGATGGATTGGAGGCGCCCATGGCAAACTAGAAAAGTAAACATACGACGATATGCACGCACCCTAAAGTTTTCCATGGTCACTGCAAGCGAATTAAGCACCTCGGCGTCGATCTTGTCATCTTCGAGGTCGATGAGCTGCATTTTTTCTCTGATTTGCTGCATGGCTGCTTCTGAGCAAAGCGATGCGAGATCTGAGCCCACATATCCATGTGTCTCTGCCGCAATCTGCTCCAGGTCTACGCCTGGAGCCAGCTTCATGTTTTTCGTGTGAATACGCAGCACATCCAAGCGGCCAGATGGATCCGGAATGCCAATATCGATCTCGCGATCAAAACGACCAAACCGGCGCAATGCTGGATCAATAGAGTTGGGGCGGTTGGTAGCGGCGATAACGACGACGTTTGAACGGCTCTTCATGCCGTCCATCAACGTCAAAAGCTGTGAAACTACTCGGCGTTCAACCTCTCCATTTGTCTAGACGAAAGGTAAAGTCGATCGAAAAATATGGGACAGAAAAGGAAAGGGCAAATCGGACACAAAAAGAAAGGGGAAAGCTAGGCGCACCTTTTCACGCTTCGGTGCGATCGAATCAATCTCGTCGATAAAGATAATCGCGGGTGCATTTTTATCTGCCTCCTCGAATGCCTTCCGAAGATTGGACTCGGACTCACCGGCCATCTTGGACATCACCTCAGGCCCGTTAATGAGGAAGAAAAAGGCGCCCGTTTCGTTGGCCACTGCACGCGCAATCAGCGTTTTTCCCGTTCCAGGCGGTCCAAAAAGCAAAATGCCTATGGTGAATAAAACGACACTGTACCTCTTGGCGGCTTGATGCCGATACTCTTAAAGAGTTGTGGGTGGCGCAGGGGCAGCTCGACGAGCTCGCGGATTTGGGCCATCTGTTTACGGCAACCACCGACGTCATCATACCCGATTTCGTTCAGATTGCTCTCCTCGTCCTCGCGTTTGATCGGAGAACCTTCAAAATGGATCACGGTCTCCGGAGCTACGATGGCCGTAGGCGATGGTTGGCAATCGACAACCTTGAATTCCACAGCACGCATGCCGCCGCGAACCAAAAAATAATCATGCAGACGGATGGGGCGATATGCGTCCAGGAAATATGGCTTCAAAAATACATCAAAGATGTTTCCAGTGACACCTTCCAATGTATCGTCGATAGGAAGGACATGGATGCTCGTGGCATATTTGATGTCCGAATGAATTTGCACACTGACGATGTCGCCCAATTTGACGCGGATGTTCTTCCTTGTCACTAAAATCTAAATGCTCAAATTACCTAAGTGTTGTTAATGGAGTCATATTTACCCTTGTTGAGCTGGATGCGGATGTCGGCGCAGCCTTCTTCGGAGAGTACCACGGCAACCGTGTCCTTTCGACGCCTCCCTTTGATCAGAATGGTGTCTCCGCGGAAGAACTGCAGCTCCTCCATCTTTTTTGGCGACATGTACACAATTGAAGAGTCATCAGAGCTGGATTCGTCAACGAGAAGCTTGTTCGGAGACGCTTTGCCTTGCAAGATTGCCGTAGAAAGGTCACTTGCAAAAGATTAGCTGATAAGTAATTCCTACTCTTTGCCCGACTTCGATGGGTCAACGACGATCTTGTGGGCATCAGCGATCGGTGATGCAACTTGACTGGGTGGTGGCGACATTTGTAAAATTTTAAATTGCCAGTCAAACATCAATTCTCAAACTTTCGATTTGCGTAGCGCATATAATTTAAATGAACAATTTTTTGCAATTCAAGCAGTGGCGTGGTAGACACCATCGTGATGGCAATTCCCACATTTTACTTTTGATCGGTAAAGTTTACATCCTGCATTGCCCAATTGGCTGCATTCCGACTTTTCCAATTGGCTGCATTCCGACCTTTCCAATTGGCTGCATTCCGACCTTTCCAATTGTGTGCATTTGCATTTTTTATGGAAAGTGAGGTTGGACTGGACAAAAGGAAAGCGATAAGCACAATTTCGGGCATGTTTTATCGGCACTCACATTAGACACTGCCAAGGAGATATCCGCTCTTTTTGAAGTGTTGAAGGAATCGATATGGTATAAATATTTTGACCCTGAAAATGGATAGTGAGGTTTCGCAATTGAAAGAAAAAATTGCAGGTGAACTTGAGGAGGAATATTCAAGTGCAGAAAAAACCCTGCATTCGCTCTCAGAACGCAGGAAAAATATGCTTCTAAAATTTGAGCAATTTATTGCTTGGTCTATGGAGGAAAAAACGTCGTCCATAAGAAAATAAATGCTACGATGGAAACGTTAATCCATCTGGACACTTCACTTCGGTTTTCATGCCAAATTTTGGGTCATATCCAAGCGGATGCAGTGGAAATATATTTACCGCAAGCTCCAGCGATATGGGAAATGAAGAGTCCGGGCCCGAGTTGCAATGATCGAGGATATCCGATAAAATTGGATTGGAAGAGCCTTTGGAAAGCAAATCTAAAACATGTGCGAAAAGAATGCAAACCTTGTCGTGAAACAGGAAAGTTTTTTTTAATAGAAAAGGGGATCTCCAAAGAAGTATTGCTCTTTGCGGCGAGGTCAAAGTCCGATAGGCGGCCAGACCCCAATACGGTGGAGGCCGACTTTACCTTGTACATTCCCTATGGATGGTCAGCGAATCGCCATACTGTCAATGAAAGCAGTGAGATCCTCCAAGGGATATAGTTTGGACTGTAAACCGTTGCATCAATCAAATAGTTGATGTGAAGCGAGAAAATACCGCCATTGTCCCCATTTTCTGCAAACGAGACAGAATCGCCAGGATCGGTCAAATGCTTGAGGTTGGTTGAAACAATCTGGAGAAAAGTTGCCAAAATCTGACCTGGGGGACTCTTGGAAATAAGAAAAAAGATGCGATTCCAAGTGCAGCCAGCAGAACCAACAGAATGGACATGCACAGCCTAAGTCCACAGCACCTACAGCATGGCCTTTTGTTGCTCTTCTTTATTATGCTTCTCGCGGGAGAAATGCCTATGCCAGAACCATTTTCCATATTTCCGTCTATAGGGGCGGGTGGGGCCCATTGATGCGCTGCATTTTTCCTATTTTTGAAACACCGAAAAGGGCCCCATTCTTTCATCGTGCTAAATCGATAAGAAAACAAAGAAACGCCCAACAAGAGCCATCACGATCACAATAGATTCCAAATCAATGGAAAAATTGGCCAATTGTAGAATTCCATGGTTGGGGGATTCTGATTGGCCAAAATTTCAAACGGGTCGGATGTGTTTCCTAAATGAAGAAAGCTTATCACCAGCACTCGTACTTCGATGGTATATTTTGCTTTAAGAATGGGAATTTCAAAGAACACATTTATGATGAAAATGATGACAGCAATAACGTGTTTCCTTTTATTTCTTCAAGTGTTGACCCCCGCCATGGCCGAGGCATCCACTGATGGCTCGCCTGGCGTCAGCAATTCTGAAGTTATTCAAGAAGAGACGAGCAAGGTATTGCCAGATCTTAGCAATGGTAGGATCATTCATCACCTAATGTGCAGTTTCGCTTCCACCGCTTCCAATCGACATTGATAATGGGAGTGTCTTTCCACAAATACTCGGCGGAATCGTTTTGGCATTGATCGGCGTGCTCTTTCTTTTTTTCGGATACAAATATTTTAAAAAGATTCTTTTTGTGATCGGAGCGTCAGCTGGAGCACTTTCTGCATACACCATTTTGCTTAACATCGAAAAGTCGATGACAGACACTCCGCTTTTTGGAGATGCAAGGACGTTGGCGTTCGCCGGGATCTGTTTGGGATGTGCTCTTCTCTTCGGAGCGCTAGCCTTGGCCCTCTGGAAACTCGGGCTTCTCATTTCGGGTGGTCTTGGTGGTTTGGCATTGGGAATGTTTCTGCTATCTCTCCCACCAATAAACTCTTTCTTAATAGGCGAGAGCGGCTCCTCCATTGTCCGTCCAATTTTGCTGGCCGTCACGGTCTGTATAGGCGGTTTGATGTCCATTTTCTACGAATCTGTCGTAATAATGGCGTCCACAGCTCTCTTTGGCGCAGGATGTATATGTACCTGCATCGACATTTATGCAAAAACAGGCTTTGACGAAGCTATTCGAACCATTTTGCAGAACAAGGGGTCGGTAGATATGAATAGCAGCTTTGCAGGCCTCCTAATATCATACGGTGTGCTCTTCCTGATCGGATTTTACTTGCAATATAAGGGCCAATTCCCATCATCCTCCAGACGCAGACATGCGCTTGTGGCCGATGATCGCGCACCGGTTTACAAAGTATAACCAATAAAAAGGGCTTCAAATTGTAAACTTTGCAGGTGCAAATTGAAAGGACTGCATTTGAAGCCAATGCAACCCTAATTGCAATCCAATCAAATCGATATCACGAAATTGGCGCATTCATGGAAAAGTTTTTCCCAACAGCTTTTTCGCCACTGGCCCTTTTTTCAGCAGACAAAACCTCTCTATCCGCCTGAAATGACATCATCTTCGGATTCGACAAATTCCGGCTACTCACTTGCTGAAATCCTTGCTCCAGATTTTATCCCATCAAAGTTAACAAAGCCACAATTACGCTCACTTCTTCTTGAGCACGGGAATATCTCGATGGATGACTTTCCCTCGATAAGCGCAAAAAAAGATACCCTTATTGAGATATTTGAAGAACGCATCTTGCGACGCGCTCCGGAAATATTGTCAACCCACCGTGCGGCCTATGCATCCTCATCGGGAATCATTTCTGTTGCCTCTGATGGCAGTGAGCGCAGATTGTCAAGTGGAAGTGCAAACTTTTCGTCTGAAAATCCGTTTCAAAGTCCTGTTCGTTCTGTAGCCCGTGGAAGAACGACCACACCGGTAAAGGAAAAGGCTAGCAAAAGTGACGGTAAAGTCAGAAGCCGATCAAGGGCCTCTTCGACAGCCAGAAAACGCTCATCAAACCCGCGCTCGTCCACCTCTTCTGATAAGAAAAAAGAAGTTGGCACAAAAAGACGCTCATCATCCGTGGTTGTTGAAGTAATCGAGGAACCATTTTCCGAGAATGTGATAAGCCCTCTTTTTAAGGCCACGGCAAGCAGAAAGAAATATTCTGCAGCATCCTTCAAAGAATCTGAATCTTTGCCTCAAAAATCAAATCCGTCGCCCAGAAAGCCTAGCCCGTCTCCCCGAAAGCCTAGCCCGTCGCGTATGTCGAGTTTATCCCCGAATGGACATAGACTGAAAAAAACACTGGAGTCGCCTACGGCTACGCGACGTACTGGACAACCCGCGCCAACGTACTCCTTTATGATGGCGCCCGGTGCTCTTCCCTCAATTTCAAAAGAGTGCTTTGAAAAGAAAAAAAGCCCCTCCCCGTTTTTGGCAATTCGTCGATTATTTCTGATCCTTTTTTTTGGGTCTGTAAGTGCTGCGGCGTATTTTCTGTTGTCGATTTTTGTCTCCTATTATTCAGCAATCCCTTTCTGCAGATCTCCAATTGCAAGGATGGTGGCGGATACATTTTACGAGGCTTCATCCCATTCGTCCAATTGTGTTCTTTCTTCAACTCCTGTCGGTGAATCATCATGGAAGGATCTTGTCTTTTCGCCGATTCATAACTTTTTCAATTGCAAAGAAGAAGTTTCGATTTGCTGGGAATGCCCATCGCAGGCTTCATGTATCCCGGGGACTTCTTCCTGGAGTTGTGAGCCTGGGTATGCGCCGGGGAGATCTTGGGTTTTTTACCGCCCCGTTTGCTATATTGATTACAAACAGCAAGGAGCAGTGGATGCACTTGTGCTTGCCATTGAAGAGCTTCTTCGCAGGGTCCTTGGCGAGCATCTTTGTGCAGGCGGCGATTTAGACTCTGCTCCCTTCATCTCATCGATGATGTTGGCTGATCGCTTCAAGGCTCTTGATGGCCCATGGAGTGTTAATCTGACGACCCCAACAAATCCGAATATCCCTCCCGTCATAAACTCGCATCGCTTTGAAGCGTTTCTTGCTGCAGCTCTTTCCAGAATCGCTGGCCGCCCAGAAAGCTTTGAAGTTAAAACTCTTCCTGTGGACCAGGAGCAGGAACATCCAAATCAGACCTGGTTCAGAGCACATACGCCATCTTTTTCGTTTGAATGTCGTTTTAGGCTTTTCTGCATGCGCCATCGGCCATTGATTGCAATTTTCACTGTGATCGTCGCCATTGCAATTTGGATCAAGCGAACCGTTTCCAGTAGTTCTTTTTTCTGAGTTTTAGGAATGCGATCTTTGAGCAAAGACGCCAAGCTGCTCATGGAGACCGTGCTTGACAAGCTCATACAACAGGACTTTCTAAACCGCCAAGACTCGACCATGTTCCCTTCGTGCATCCCGGTGGCCCAATTGCGTGATGCCCTCATATCTGGACCTACATTTTCGCCCTCTTGTAACACAGAATCATATAGGCGACAACTTTGGAAGGAGGTAAGCTTTGGTTTTTAAGCCCAGGTATCGCGTCTCATTCATTCCAATAGCAATGTCCGCGAATCGACAACTCTTATCAGAGGCGAGCAGCACCGGGTATGGGAATGGATTGGACCGGAGGTCCTCAAGGCCTCTGCTTCATCTGGAGATATTTCGATGTTTCGAAGAAGCCTCTCTTCTCCTGTCCGATAATAAAAGTTGACGCGTTTCCCGCACCCGGGTTTTCAACGATCCATGTGCGCAAATAAGATCACCAAATATGATCAGCTGGGCTATAAACGATTTGAAGAGGGAGGCCACTGGCATCGTTACATGTGACCGGCAATGCAGCACAGATTGATTTGCCAAAGAGGCATATCAAGGACGCTGCTAATGGATCAAAGTTGGCGAAAAGGACAAAACTGTATGCGAGTCGAAAGCAAGACGGGGTTATTTGTCGACGTTGACTTGGGCTGTTTTGCTTTTCAAATGCTGGATGATGTTCCCCACATTTGGAACAATAGAGCGATGCAAACACTAGACACCCACAACCCAGCCCAACTCTGTATGGTTTTGCGCCAGTGTCTCCATAATGTGCATGGTGTAAAGTGCAGGCAAATGCTTGTACGGCTATTGAAAGGATTAGATAGTTTAATAAATAACTAGGAACGCTGAAAGGGAAGGGCCTTGCGGAAAGCTGGTGGAAGTTGAGCATAGATGTCCTCAAGTGATCGTTCGATAACAACAATGTCGGACGCATTTGGAAACACGGCAATGATGGACGAGATCGGGTCATTTTCAGTACCTCGAGGCGTAGAAAGAATCAAAGGCAAAGCCAGAGAAACTTGTGCACCAACGTCTGCAGCAGTTGTGGCCACCTTGGGACCACAAGTCAAATTCGACATACCTAGAAGGCAGATATTTTCATTGGTGCGGAGATACTCCATATTCAAGCGATAGATGCGATCAGAATGCAAAATTAAATCGCCCTCAAGCATAAAGGCACCCTTCAGCAGAGACGAGCTTCTCGATGAAAGAGCCGGGGCAAGCGGGACAAGACTATACCGCAACAAGTGATTGCTCTTGAGATCCCAAATAGAAACAAGTGCATAAGCGAGAACCGGTGAGCCTGAAAAAGACAGGCTCTGGGAAAGATTAGAGATCCCCACAAGAATATCCTTGTAGACGACAGCATCGACAAAAAATGATCCTATCATAAGGGAAGGAGGAGAGAGCCATCTTTGCTGAGAAGAAGCTCTCTCTACTATCAAAAGAGATGAAGACGAGCCAAGAATGGCGAATGTAGAAGTAGCTCTAATAAAATCGGGCGAAAAGACCGTCTTGGAACTGATATTCCAATCCTCCAGCTGGGTGACACTGTCACCCAGCTGGACAAGGGATACTTTCTTGGGCTGTACAATCCACAACAGAGGTGCCGGAAAATCTCCATCATCTCCACCGCTGGCCAAGGCCAAAAGATGGGGAGGCTTAGAAAGGGCGATAGAGCCGCCATCTTTCCAGGTCCCATCATCACTTCGCCTCCACAGCCTAATAGAGGGATGATGCTGTATACCAAGTGCCATCCAGTGCTCATCGAAAGCCTGTGTAAAAATATGGTCATTGAGAGTGAACTGAAACTCTAAACTGGGCTCGCCGCCATTTTGCGGCAAAATACTCCAAATCTGACCGGAAATATTAGAAGTACCCCCCACACTGGTAACAAGAAACTTTCCAGAACCGTTCGTCGAGATAAACGAGCCTGGGATTTGGTCGAAATATGGGAAAATTTCATATCTTCCAAGGGCTTCCAATTTGAGGTCATGCAGGAGAAAATCTGGATCAAGGCCCGCACTTATTAGGTATGACCCGTTTGGTGAGACCGTCATCACGCGAACATCAAGACGGTGTATGGTAATGGGGGCCATTCCGACACCCGTGGTCCATGTCCACACATCGACCCCACCTTCATCCCCGCTTGATGCCAACTTTTTAAAGCAATGCAGAGTAGGGTCAACACCAGCAGCAATAACCAGCTCCGAACCGGGGACAGATGCCAGAGATAACACCTCGCCTTCGTGAACACGATGTGTAGAAAGAAGACTCCCCGTAGACACGTTCCAAAACGAAATTTGGCCCCTTGAATCTCCAGCAACAACAACATGGCCTTTGGAGAGCACAGACAATGACCAGATCATTCCAGTATATCGATTGCCCAGATTCAGGATTTGCACAGATCGCAGTAAAGATCCAGCAACGATATCCCAAATAACGATATCTCCAAGCGACGATCCAGTTACCAATTGGTTTGTGCATGAATTCCAAATCATTGACAGAATCCGAGTATCCTGCTTGCTATCGGTAAAAAGATGGCCTGGGAAAGCAAAACTCCTTGAAGTGGGTATGAAAAGCGGAACCTCTTCTTCTTTGCCGTTTGATACAAGCCTGAAAAGCCGAATGTGACAATCTTCAGACGCCACCGCCAACATCGAGCCATTATCCACCAAAGTGAGTGCCCAAATACCGCCTCCAGGCACATCAATGATCGAAGACTTTGGAAGACGCATGGCAATGTCCCACTCTGTAATCATGGACGAAAATGGGCCTGCCGTGAAAATGCGACCAGAAGAAGTCCATAAAATGGAATCGATTGCAAAGCCCCGTGGGTCTCTCATCGAAGCACAAAGACGCCAGCTTACGACACGCTCGTATATTTGCAGAGAGCCATTTGCACGTCCAATGGCGAATTTTTTGCTCGAATTGTGCCAAGCAGCACTGTTTATCGCCGAGGGCATCCACTGAACAAAGCGGCATCGATGCACACCCATGCGCTCCCCAGTTCCTGGAACGGACAGCTTTGTCTTTTCTTCTTCCCGAAGCATGTTAATTTTTCCATGTTTCCGGCGCCTTCGAGCACTCCTGGAAATTTTGGTCTGATTGAGGAGTACCGGAGAAAGTGCATCGCGGCCGCAGCATGAATCCCCCATGCAGAATTTTAAATTTTATTGAAAATTAAACATTCTGTTTTAAAGGTTTACAAATTTACATTGCCACGTTTGTGGGCTGGTAAAAAATATTAATCATCACCGGTGGTGATGCAGCGGCATTCATTCTTTATTAAGATGGCCGTACATTTAGCAAAAGTACATGGTATGTTCCATTTCCGGAACAACGCCTGTAAACATGCCCTGCAATGGATCTGAAGAAACAGATGAGATGCTGAGCGTATCGTCGCTCTTAAAATGGAATCTTGAACGAAAAGCGACCAAATGAGCATAGTATGCCGGGGACGAAATGCTTACAGAACGCGTGCATCTTGCGTATGTATAGCAAAGCCTGTAACTTAGCGCTTGCAAATCATCCGAGCTCATATTATTTTCATCGATAAGGACATGATAGTGCGCGGGACGAGAGGTGCCTTGAATGCCGCTATGCGACAGCAGGTAAAAGTCTCGATAGATGGGGTGCGTAATTTTTGTGTCAACGACAGTCCCGGGCATGCAATTTCCAGAGCGATCGGCATTAGAGCGATCAATGGGGAAGAAACGAACATGGTGACGCTTCTGCACCACAATGTATGTAAGCTTTGGGGAATAGTTGGCCTCCAGTTCGGCATACGCCTTTTTGATTGCAGTCACCTCGACGTTAAGCACGTGGGAGAACTGCCCCTCACCCACTCCATCTCGATAGAACAACAAGCGTTGAGGTTTAACAGAGCGATTGGACTTGTAAAAAGTTATCAGATGGCTTTTCACTATCTCCTGCAGGTCGGAAATGACCTCCTGCCGTCCAGACTGAACACGTGCGTGCGACACATATCTACAAAAGACACAAAAACGCTACCTGGAAAGTGCAATGTCCAAAGAAGCCACCACCGATGCAACTGAGCGCATAGAGGAAGATCCCGGGCCAGGATGTGTCACATCTGCCCCAAACACAATGGTCGGCACGTCGCTAACATACGGCAACTGGTTTCCCAACGTAGAGTTGATGCCCCCTAGCTTCGCATTGATTTTGAGTATCACGTTAGCACAATATTGTTTGTTGGGGCGTGCCACGTTTTTGCCCACAATACACTGCGAAGGACGGCCAATGATGCAATCTGTGATGCGCTTGATTTCGCCATACAGCATGGTGTCCTTTGTTGGCAAAATGACGATTACCAAATCTGCGGTACCGCCTTTATCGCCTGCGCCTGCAGAATAGGCTTGTCGCAACAGCCTTTCGATTCCTGGAAGGTCTGGATGTCCCGACATAATCGGCGGGTTCCGATTGGTTACCTCCAATCCCATGTCGCAGGCTGTGCTCACAATCTCGCAGATAAAGCCCTCCACTTCTCCTTTCTGAATGCGAGAAGAAAGCACAAGAACAGCCCAAGACTTGAGCTTGGCCCCTACATACATTTTCTTGTCCCGCAAGTTCCATGCTCCTTCTTCCGGGTGGACTTCAGAAACCCTGCTGCTTTTTGCATAGAAAATTTTTGGCGGCGCAAGTTGGCGTGCATCTGCCTTGACAAAATCGGTCGAAATGGCAAAGCTAAAATCATCCAAGATCGGGTTTTGTGTAAGCCTCATTTCCTTGATGCCTGCAGCGCACTTTTCTAGACGAAGATGCGGCTTTTGACATGTTATCTTGATCATATCCGCCGTTTGCTCTTCACTTAGCTTTTTCATATACCGCTGTGCCGGCGCTATTTCGCACACCTCGAGCGGCAGGTAAAGCTGCCTCTCGTTGCTTCCGGACTTGACACAGGGAAGTCCCGGATGCCGTAGGCGAAGGCTGTATTGGGAAGAAAAGTAGTCTGCGACGCTTAGCGTGCGGCCATCTGAACCTTCAAACCGGATTCGGTCTGCAGATTCTTTGGAAATGCCCAGAACGCGGTATTTGCGGCGCAGCTTGGGATTGTGATTCGTTTGTACACGAAGTCCTTTGAGAGCCTTTTCAAATTTTGATCTTTCGCCTTCTGAAAGCGATGGTGGAATTCTTATTCCGACTCCTTGTGAAAGGGGTGCTGCTCGATGGTGAGGCTGAGGGCCGCCCTGACCCGATAGCACGCTTGATAGCAGTTCTAAAAGCGAGCCGGGGCGGTAAAAGCACGTGGCCGACGTATCGATGTTCAATAGTAGGCGACCTGGGGTTGGTTTGAGCGCCTGATAGTACCCAAGCCATGCATCGACGGGACCCGAAAGTTGGCAAGTATTTGTGGGCGAGTAGAATGAACGCCCGATGTTGACCAAATTTGTGACAGATGGAGCATGTCTAATAACCACCTCTAGGACCTGCAGAGCCTCATATGGTGTGTAAGAAAGCTGTCCGTCCAAAAAAGAGCGCAGTAGATCCATAGATATGGCGGCTACTTTTCTCATTTTCACCGTAAACACACGAGGTTGTCTCTGTTTGCGCTCAGAGCCTGCTCCCTCCTCCCCAAGTGTCACATCGAAAGTATATGCATTTTTGGAGAGCTTCTTTGCGGCAAATACGTTTGCGCGGCCATCGAAAACCATTCTGACGCCCTCAAACTCAGCATGCCCGTGCTTCAACTCTAGTGCGCTGAAAATATCTCTAGCTAATTAGAAATTGTCAAAGATAATTAACAAGCAAAGCGAAATAAAATGCACGTTGAACAGAACAAATGGTGCACAAGCCAATTGGAGATGCAAGGGAAGTTGACGGGAATTAATGGGGTTTAAAAGTGGGGCTACAGGCCATGCTTGCACCGTCCAAATCGCCAAAAACATGCATCGACATCAAACTGTTATACCTATTAAGACGCGGAGGGACAGTGGGACTGATATCAATGTCATAGTGGTAGACCATGCCACTTGGCATCTTTTTGACCTCGACAAAGTTTGTCTTGATGGTAATGGGGTTTCCTTGCCTTCCAGGCTGGCATTTTTGTGCACTGGCCACGCTAATTTCCAGCTCCTCGCGCTCCTTCAGTGTTAGGCGCTTAATGTCTGTTTGCACAGCCTCCATGTATCGGGATGGAAAGTAGGACTACGAAATGTAATTGTATTTGGAAGATTGTAAAGTTTATCAAGGTTTACGCCACACGCTTGTGCAGCCTGGGTATGAGTTTAAAATGTGTTCAAATTTGTTTTAAATTGTAGCCATTTGGAGTACAATGTATGAGCAAATGCCGTAGAACGTCACCAATGGTCAAAGATGGCACTCTTTCCTTAAATAAGGAGCGATAAATGACCATCCAATATGCGGAAGGGCTCGCTTGCTATTATCCTGCTCACACTCTATTCATGCGCTTTTGCCAAGCTCGACAAAAGCGTGTATATGGATGCCGAAGAATACGCCTTCCCTGAATTCAAAGAACTTCCAAGGGAAGAGTTTAAAGCACAGCCAGAATATTTTGGGTGCAGGCTTCCCAAATCAGAGCTTCAAACCACATTGCGCCAACCCTCGATTTGCGGAAATGTTGGGTGTCTTCCGGCACCAAAAAAAATATGCCCAGCTTCTCCTCTTCTCCCTCCTGCATGTGTGAACAAAACTACCACAACCACTAATCCACCTCTCCTTGTTTGTCTTTTGCCTTCGCAACCGCTACCCCCAAAGCCCTCCATTTGCACAATGACAAGCATTTTCACCGGACCCTGCTCGCCTAATGCAACCAAATCAAACAATACAACCCCGGAAAAGGCAATAACGCCAACTTCCACAACGACAACGGCCGATCAAAAGGGCATCATTCCACTAGTAAAGGCTCTTTTCCTACCCAAGCCAACCACCACCAATATCACCACGTCGTCCACGTCGAGCGTCATTGCGGACGAAAAGAAAAACAGTATGGCCTTCAAATGCCCCACCAGTATATATGCAGAGCCGGCCTCCATTCCTCCTGCTGTATATGAAATCCTTTCCAGAATTGCAAAGGAGCGTACCTGATACTCTTGAATTATTAAAATTTCATTTAAATTTTACGGATTGATAAGGGCATCAGCCAACCTTTTAATTAATTGATGAAGGCATCGACAAATTCCTCCTGCTCTCCCTCTTCCTCCTCTGTTCGACAGAGAAAATCGGAACACAAAACTGTGGATACCAGCAGCCAAGAGCCTTCATCGTCTCCATTTTTATCTGACCTATGTATGCAAAAATTTTAATTCCTAGCTGCCTTTCCAATTCAATGTAACATTCTGTCTCTCCAGGATATTCGTATTGCATTAGATGATATCTTGATCAAGGTCGTTCTTTCACTTTTATTCTAGTTCTTTACCGTTGAGTTGGGATGGAAGGAAGACAACCGACGCACGGATCTGAATTTGCTTTCGCAATTTGTGGCAAATGTTATTGCCCTTGTTGTGGTACTCTATTCGTACTTTTTTGGGTTTGAGGCATCTCGCACGTTGGGGCAGCCTCTTTGCATTTTGTATGTCCATTTCTTACTTTAGATATTTTTTCGTTGTCCTTCTCAGTACGGTGGTAAATTGGCAGCTTGGCCCTATGCCAAAATTCTCGGGAATGTCATCAAGTAGTCCCAAGGAGACCGTCAAAGTTGAAACGAACATCGAGGCTCCATCGACGCTTTACTCTATTATCGCCGTATATCAGAGCGAAAGCGAAGCAAATAAGCCTAGAACAATTCATCTCAAGAAACCGGTGGAAACTTGGTTCCATGCAGATGGCAGCTTGGCCGCAGAGGCCATATATAAGGACCTCCTACTTTTGGCGTCCCCCGGAAAGTAGAACTCACCGTATCCATTCAAAATAAACTACACACCCCATATGGTAGACCATCGATATGGCCAATAATCGCAACTGGCATTGCTGGAAAATTGCAAATCGTAAACAACAAAAGTGCTCATTTCTTTAATATTTTAGCAAAAATCTTCTTGATCGCTCCACTTTCGGGTCGCCTCTTCTCTGGGGATGTCTCCTCTTGTGTCGTGATAGCACATTTAGAAGATTCTTCCAAAACAGTCTGTGAATATTCTATAATGAAATACTATTGAATTTCTACTCCAATTTGAAATCTCTACAATAAGAAGCGTTGCCGGATAAAGCTCCAAATCAAATAGGCTCTTGTCGAAAGGAATATACTTTACCGGCCGAGAAGTCCCTATCAATTAGTGTGGGAAGCTACGAAGCTTGAAGGGAAACCCATCGCTCTTTTCTTCAGAAGCAACGATAATGTTATCCCGTATGAAGCGATAGAGAATCGATCCTACAAGAAATAAGTGGAACAACGACCTTGGTCTGTAGCCATAAAACTACATTCTATCATCAAATCATCTGGGAACTTGAATTTGATTTTGATCTACAAAAAGAGACGACTATTTACGTTGGCGTATTTAGAGAGAAGTGCCTCCTTGGCGGAGGTCTTCATTTTTGCCGTCTGCAATGGCATATTTCTCATGCGAGAGCTTTCGTCGGAATATACACTGACAATAGAAGATGAAGTTAAAGCTACGCTGATCAATAAATCGACATACATTCGCCCTTCTGGCTGCCTCGCAATGGGGCGCGTCCAGAGGATGGATATACAACAAAATTCAGACCATCTTGGCTTGCCATAAATTCAAAATAAAAACCAATTTGGGTTAGGGTTGGGCCCAAATTTTAAACGCACACCGTCATCTCCTGCTATTCAGACGACCCGTCCCAAGTTGAATGAAATGTCGTTATATTTTCGTTAATTGCAGAAGGGTGATAAAATAGTTTAATTTTAAATTTACATGTCCCGTCGGAGTGCCACAATTCGACCGCCGCGTCCCAAGCGGTAGGCTAGCGGACGACTGGGATTTCCTCCATTGCTTTTCAAGGTGGAGCCGAGGGCCATCTCGAACCGTTCCCGTGCGGGTAGGGCCTCTTTTTGAAGATTCTGAAAAAGCATATGTTCTTCTTTGTGATATGAATTCAACTCCTCCTCAAACTCTTTAAGCCTCGAGGAAATGTCATTACATATCTTTACGGGATTCGCGATTGACTTCCATGGTGATATATTTTCAAAAGGAAGAGAACATTGCACCCCTGAATCGTTAGCATTCGCCATGTTCATGAAAAAGGCAACTTTGGCATATGAATGCGAAGAGATATCCATAAACATTGCTGGTGGTCCTTCTAAATCGGCTCTTGTGAGAATATTGGCATAAGACACGCTTGTACGCGGCACCTTCTAAAATTTAGATCGGAAATATGTATTACCGCTCGTCCATGAGAGCTTATCAAAGAGCCCTGTCCATGATGATGGCCAATATGCCGATGATTCGATGATTCTGAAGCTGAGATCTGAATAGGCGGTACGTGGATTCCATACTTTGACTTGAGACTTTCTAGCGTGAACGTATTTCCAAAAACTAGCGTTCCCTCAAGAAGCAAACTTTTTTTCAACTGATCACGTTGCAGGGATATCCGCAAAAGAAGAAGAAGGTCCTCAAATTGCTCCTGTAAACGCGAAAGCTTTGTTAAAGCTTCCAAATCGGCGCGTCTCGTTTTCCGAGGCTGCCTGATTTCTCGCCTACGAAAGCAGACGTATGGATCAATATTGCTATTGGCGGATCCTGACGAGGACGAGTTGCCTATTTTTCCTTGTTGATCCTCAAGCTTCAACGTAGGCAGAAGCGGCACAACCAAGGACGGCGAAATAGCCGCCCTGGTCTTTTTCCAATGTTCAAAAATGGCCGATTGGTAAGAAAGGGCAATTTTCAGCTCAGAAGGGTCCAGCCATCTGTCAATAAAGACAACAGCCTGTTTTGTTGTCAGAAAATTGCTGTTGACGACCCCATCGTGACCAAAGACCAGAGCAATAGACTCGATCACCCACATCACCTTCTCAAAAGTGGAAATGTCAAGTCGAGGCGTTAATTTGGTAAGGAAAATAAGATCATCTCCGGTAGCCCAATATGGGACGTATGGAAGAGTTCTCCCTTTAATTGTTTCCCCTTCACATGGTAGCAGGGTCATGGGTGCCCTTGTGCCGTACCCAAAGCCGAGAAGATTATTCTGACAATAGAGTCCTGCTGGACCGTGGTTGCTGTAAAATGGGTTATGAAGGGCATCCAATATCCGTGGTTGTGGTGGCGTTTTCCACCGTTCATCCTTCTTGAAGGCTTCTCCGGTGGGTGGATATAATTGCTCATAGATCTCTCCAGATATAGAGTGGCCTACATCTGTAGAATCTGGTACAGGTATTCGCGCCCCTTCACCGCCGCCCATTCGAGAAAATGTCGGTGCACTGGAAAGAATGGCCTTCAAATGGGCCTCATCCTCTTCCTCCTTTTCAACACCGGTCGACAGGAGAGGGACAGATCGCATTTGAAGAAGATGCTCCTCTGGCTCTGCCGATTCCAGCAATACCGTGATCTCCTTATTGAAGTCAATCTTGCGCGAACGAAAGGTTTTGCCCCCGCCAACTATGTGATGTTTACCCAGGTCTCCCCGCCTCATCATTGGTTGCGAGGTCGAAAGAAGTGAAGGTGTGTGAGGGCTAGTCGCATTTGCAACTGCAGAAGGTGGCGGAGAAGACTTGTCACTCCTACCAACGTTTTTGTGCGCGTCGTCTTGTAAATATGATACACCTACCATCTACGCTTATCATTAGTAAATTTCAAAAATAAAATTGGCGCGAAATCATCAGGATGCAACCCTAGAACCTTTCGGATCCAAATGGGGAAATTTGACAAAGGGATCATAGAGACTATTTACCTTTTACTGATGATGTGAATATAATCCTTTTTATAAAAATCACCCACTGCAACAGGGAGGAAGATGCAAGCAGACTATCTTGATGGTGTAATGGGAATCTAATTCAGCAAGTGCGAATCCAAAGTGCACGTCAAATTTTAGTTTACAAATTAAATTTATTTAAATTCAACTTTCTCAATAATGGCGAACCAATTTCCAGCATCGCGGCCTGTCAGCCGAATAACCAACGATGGGATGCACGCTATCAACTGTTCAAGCTCCCCCTCTTTAAATAGATGATAGTATCTACAATAAGCCGGTTTGCATACCTCTGATGCACAGCCCCCGTCGCTGTATTCCAGTTGATCATTGTTTCTGTTCCTTCGATGGTCACAAATTTCTATGATTAACATGATTGCAAGTACAGAGCTCTTGGTGGCATCTTGATTGTCAAAGGCCCAAACGAAAACTAGGGCCGTGCCTCCTGTTCGAAGAACACGAGAAATCTCGCTCAATGCCTCCAGTCGCCTTTCCCGAGATGCGAGATGGTGGATGGTGGCAATGGAGAGGGCAAAATCCTATCATTTCATTACAAAGGTTAAAAACCATTGAACATTGTCTGAGAATTGTTGAAAGCATGCAGGCACAAACAAGATCGCCAGAAACGGTCCGGCTCCCTGCCTGCGCATGTCGCAACAGAGAAACGCATCGATCGGTGCCGATAGTAAATGAATTCTTGGTGACATAAATATTTTTCCCATTTCCGCAGCCCAAATCAATTCCGATAGACCCAAAAGGCAAGGATTGAAGATATTTCAGCACCTGTGGCCATTGCTAGGAATTCAAAATTGTCGTTCTACCTTGTACCTAGTAGCGGAAAAATGTTCCGCAATCTGGTCGTAGACATCATGAACATGGACCTGCTCAAAGGCCAAGCATCCTGTGTGATCCATGAAATTTTGTAATAATGAAATTTTGCAATAATAAAATTGTAAATTTAACCGAATTTCTAATTTGATGGCTTCAGTGCTTCCCATTTTCGTTGCTGTAGGTATGATGGCCGCGCTCATCTGGCTCTTGTTTGTCCGATCCAAAGGTAGGCTGGCTTTGCTTTCTTAAGGTGACAAAATCACGCCTTACTTTCCACCTAATGAGGCCCGTGAAAAATATATTCAACAATGCTCTCAAGAGGAAACGCCGGATTTGCGCTCTGCACTTATCCATAGAGCAATTGAAGCGATTCGCCGCACGCAAATAATCAACGAGGAGAAGCCTTCATTGGTCAATCTAAACCATGTTGGTGCCCTTTCCGAAGAATTTCTTTGCTCACTGCTTGAAGCCGAGCGGGAAACTAGCGCCGAATTATTTGATATACAATGCGAGGCAGAGCTCATCAAAGAGGGTATTGAATGAGCGAACAACTTTTTATAGGTTGGAGCAAATCCATTTTGCAAGAGTCGGCCGCACTCATCAAGCATGCCATATCTGCCGGCGCCCAGGCCAATAGCCAGCAAGTACGGAAGCGGGCGTAGCATGTAGCGCTTTAATTAAAGATCGCAGCTGTATGTATCTGATATCTATTATTGCCGATATTTGTGTCGCATATTTATAACACATAACTAACTAAATTCCCCGGTGGCATATTCGCATGTGTTTATATACATGGTTCGCGTTCAATACACGGGCGTGCATGGTTTCGTTGAACTGGATATATCTCGTAACAATCAGGTGCATCCGTGATTCGAAATTTGATATTAATCTCCATGAACAATATTTTAAAATCGTTGTTTATTACAAAATTGTCATCAATCAGTTTCTTTCGTTGACTTTAGTTTATCAATGTGGGAGGGGGGTCTTTCGATTTGCGCAAAGATCCTCCCCGTCGAAAGGCTTCAAGATGGGAATCGGTGTTAAAGTCCATTTCATCAGAATTATTGGAGCTAGACGTGTGTGTACAGGAATGCTTTTCGATTGCTTGAAGTAATCTGTTCCTTAAATATTCCAGCTTCTGCTTTACTTCTGGGTTTCGCTTAGGCGTGACAACCGTCGCGCTAAATTTTGTCTCTTCTTTTAGTTTACATTTGGATAATTCATAAATTTTCATTATTTCCGACGAAGGCACCAACGAAGCAAATGCGGATAGTGAAACAGCCGTTGCATCCTCTGGCTTTATTTCTTCATTTAAGCTCTCTTCTGAGATTGATTTAGAATTTTCTTCTAAAATCGCTTTTTTATCTTGCTGCTCCTCAGAAATAATGAACATCACCTGAGTGGCCAGTTGAGACAAATTGTTTCGACTGATTGGTGGAGGATTGGGTCTTCC